CTCTCTCTCTCTCTCTCTCTCTCTCTCTCTCTCTCTCTCTCTCTCTCTCTCTAGTGGGACTCTCTCTCTCTCTCTCTCTCTCTCTCTCTCTCTCTCTCTCTCTCTCTCTCTCTCTCTCTCCATGTTTGTGTGTGTGTGTGTGTGTTTGCAGCTCAGGCAAGTGCCTTTAGGAGGGCAGCTATGAAGAATAGCAGGAAGGTGGAGCAGTTAGTTTGCCCTGGCAGGACCTGCACAATATAATGTTTTCTTATAAAGATTCTGCTTTCACTCTGGTCATCATGATCACCTATCTTGTTGCTCAGGGGAGAACGGCATCTGAGGCACTGCAGAGCAGCATTGCAGCCTCGCCCCTTCCTCTCCCTTCTTCTCTCCCCCTTGCTTTTTATTGATAAATCGCGCAGTGCTTTCTTTGGTATGTAATTGTGAGATGGTCACTTCTGAGGAACAGCAGATCCCCCGGGCAGATGGTGCAGCAGAGGCAACGGAAAGAATTGGGTAGGGGGAAATCAATTTTTACGAGCATTGTGTGCATATAAGGCACCGAGCTGCCACCATTCCCTCCATTGGAAGTTTCTACGTTTTTTTTTTGTTTTTTTTTTTGTTTGTTTGTTTTTTTTTTGTTTTTTTTTGTTTTTTTTTTTCTCCCCACGTTCATGCAGGTTGTGCGCTCTGCTTTTTTCGGCCATGGTTCGCTTCGCCATTTTTTGTTTTCGTCTTTTTTTCTTCTTTTTTTCTCTTTTTTTTCCTTCTTTTTTTTTCAATGTGGTCTGAAGGATTGGGGAGCTTTTATATTCCTTGTGACGATAGTCCCCACGGACATTTCATGTGGCGGTGCAAGAGTGGAATTTTTCTCTTACTTCCTGCAACACAAGTACGGAGGAGATGTGTGAGAATACAAAGGAAGAACTAAAAGACGACAGACGAGCTTGATACAATCTACTAGTGGAGACAGGCGCAGAAACACATGCATTATCTCAGTAGAAACACATTCATAATCTCTATATTTATTATTTAATATATTATTAATTTATTAGTAATTTATTACCGACCGACTTGGCCATGTCCCATGCAACCCAGGGATGAGTTGGATGGGGAGCTGGTGTAGGGCATGAAACAGAATCTAGGGGTGGCAGTTTTTCTTTATGTTTTGTATTTTTGTCAGCTGCAATTTATTTTTTTTGTTGGCTTGAAATCTTTCTGTGGCTGCATTATACCTCTGCTTGCATTCGTGGTCGTGGTGCTGCCAAGGAGTAGCAAGTTGCATGTAGCGCCATTTCCGTACTCTTGAAAACCTGAGTTCCCTTCCTCATTTTGCGTGCTCTCCTTGCCTGGTGGTGGGAGACTACATCCATCCAGCTCCCCCTCTCGAGATGTCGATGTATTGCCGGAGCGCCATTTCCGTTCCTCATTTTGCGTGCTTTCGTTGCCCGGTGGTGGGAGACTACATCCATCCATCTCACCCTCTCGAGATGTCGATGCATTGCTGGAGCCTTCATTTCTTTTTTTGTGTGTAGCTCCCACAGGCAATTTCCATCAACTCCCACTCTGATCAAACTTCCCCATGGAATGGAAAAAACTAGGGTGTTGTCATGGCGTCAGTGGAGGCGTCAGTTTGGAAATGCGCTTTCAGACTTTCAGTCACTATTTTGATGCTGCTTGTAACATCCCCCCCGTCCAAAAAACCTCTTGACCAGGGGTAGGTGGCCCACCAGATATGCTGAGGTGCCCTTTAAATCACCAGTACCTCCACGTGTTTAGGCCGTTAACGCAGTGGCTGAATCGGTGAGCCGCACGGGGCCAATATGCATTTGCCTCAGAGCCTACCCAGAGGGGGCCTAAGACCCCCTCGGGTACTGGTGGTTCAAATGTGTCCTCTTTATTGAGAAGCTTGCAGGTTACCTGCTTGCAGAATTGCAGCCGAAAAGAGAAATAATTTCAAATAAACTTTTCCCCTTCAAAGTGGCGTATTACCCCTACAGGTGTAATTAGTAGGGTTCTCCTTTCCTCTACTCCATTTTAATTGTCTTTGTCTGAGTTTGTCATAAAATAATTTCAAATAAACTTCCCCTTCAAACTTAAGCTATTTCCGCCATCAATCCACTTTGTGGTGCGCTCGCCGTGAGATGAGAGGCCGAAGGAAAGAAAATCAAATAAAAGAAAAGAAAACGCTCTTGCGAGCGCGGCTGGCCAGCAGAGCAGAGTGGGCCTAAGGTAGTCTCTTATTACCATTGTTTTATAAAGTTTCTGGAACTTGGTCGAAACATGAAGGTAGTCTCTTATTATGGTGTTGGATCCTGAGTCTTTATGGTTTTGTCTTTTGTTTTCAAACTCGCAACGAAGTTGCCTTGACTGGTGCCCCTCTTATGATTCACAAATGGATTGCTTTATTTTTCTTTGTTTTGAGTGGCATATTTCCCCTACAGGAATATACTTAGTAGGGTTCGCCATTCCTTCACTCCATTTGAATTGTCTTTGTCACTTCCATTGCTCTACTGGGAAGAGGGGGGTGGGATTGCCGTTTGCCCGGGTCATCTCCACTAATAGTCATTGCTTTCTTTTTTATAGCTTGTTTCAAATAATCATAATATAAACCTTCTGCTCTTTCTTCCATCACTTTTTGTCTTTTAAAAACCACCAGTACTTCCTAAAGTCATGCGCGTTAACGCTACGCGACTTTAGGAAACGTACGGACCACTACAGGAGCGCCCAAATTCATCCAACTAGAAACATTTCTACCCTTTTTTTTTTTCCCCGGCCGATAGCACAGGAGCGCCCAAATTCATCCAACTAGAAACATTTCTACTCTTTTTTTTTTTTTTTTTTTT